TTTCCTAGTCTGCATGCCTTTCGTATTATTTTCTCCTTTAACTGCCCTGGCTGTAATGTCCAGCACAACGTTGAACAGAAGTGGCAAAAAAAACCCTGTCATGTTTCCAACCCTCGGGGGAAAGAAGCCAGACTTTCACCATTAAGTAAAATGGTAGCTCTTGTTTTTTGGACATGTCCTGCAGAGATTTTTCTATACGTGTAAGAAGAGTGCTCAAATCGAGTTAATGGTCTGTGTTCAAATTCTGACATATATAGAACCACTCATTCTTACAAAATATAGCCACTGTGCTACTGTTTAACAAATGATCTTAAACTTGCATTAATAAACTGAAAATTCCCAAAGAGCATTAGGAGAATTTGGCATTTACCAAAGTTCAGATTCCATTTTAATACTTCCCCCAAACTAAAAAAAATTAAAAAATAACAACAGACATAAGATTGACCCCATGATATTCAAATTCTAATCATGATATAGCAATACTAACAGCATTATTGGTAATCTTAAAAATTACTGAAAATAGGTTAAGAAAAATGTATTTTTAAATTGTACTAAGTGGCTTAATTCACTTATCAGTTTCAGTTGAAAAACAGTAATGCTATCCTACAAACATAAAGCACTTTTTTACAAAGTACTTTATAACCATTATCTCATTTTAACGCTCAGTTTTTTATTGTTTTTGTTTTTGTTTTGTTTTTTGCAGTACGCGGGCCTCTCACTGTTGTGGCCTCTCCTGTTGCGGAGCACAGGCTCCGGACGCACAGGCTCAGCGGCCATGGCTCACGGGCCCAGCCGCTCCGCGGCACGTGGGATCCTCCCGGACCGGGGCACGAACCCGTGCCCCCTGCATCGGCAGGCGGACTCTCAACCACTGCGCCACCAGGGAAGCCCTGAACTCTCAGTTAAAAAAAAATTATTTTACTGAAGTCTAGTTGATTTATAATGTTGTTAATTTCTGCTGCCTGGCAAACTGACTCAGCTATACATATTCATACATTCTTTTTCCTATTCTTTTCCATTATGGTTTATCACAGGATACTGCATATAGTTCTCTGTGCTGTACAGTAGGGTCTTGTTGTTGACCCATTCTAAACATAATAGTTTGCATCTGTGAAGCCCACACCCCCAGTCCATCCCTCCCCGACGCCCCTCCTTGGTAACCACAAGTCTGTTCTCTACGTCTGTGTTAACTCTCAATTTTGAGAGTAGTAAAGCACATACTCATTTGAGGAATGAGGAAGCTGTGTTTCAGAGACATCTATTAGCTAATGGAAAGGACAGTGTTCTAGTGGTGAAGTTTGTCCTAGAAATTAACTTTCCTCATCCCCCTCCCAGAGTTCTCATCTCCACTCAGTGCTCCGGCACTTCACCTGATGTTGGCAGAACTGCTTGTCAACCTTACCACCACCTGTAGTTTTCATCAGAGAGCAAAAAGGGGAAAAGTTGAATCTGTTATAAAAAAAAAAACGAAAAGCTCAGAAATTCAAAAGAGCATTCAACGGAAAATAAAAACTGTATTTAAAAGTATGATTATGGGCTGCTGGCACTAATTAATATTAATTTATTTTTACTATTCAGGTGCTTAGCTGGGGTGAGTTCATTGATGTAGGATGCCAGTTCAAAACTTTTCTAAACACAAATTTTAGGTTAAAAAACGCTCTAGGGCTTCCCTGGTGGCACAGTGGTTGGGAGTCCGCCTGCCAATGCAGGGGACACGGGTTCGTGCCCCGGTCCGGGAAGATCCCACATGCCGTGGAGCGGCTGGGCCCGTGAGCCATGGCCGCTGAGCCTGCGCGTCCGGAGCCTGTGCTCTGCAAAGGGAGAGGCCACAACAGGGAGAGGTCCGCGTACCGCAAAAAAACCAAAACAAAAACGCTCCAATTTCCAGGATGGAAACTATTTTCTCAACAGCTGGAGATCAACTATTTTCTCAACAGTTGGAAATCAACAATTCATAATTAAATCAATTTTAAAATGTTTAAAGAGACAGAAACGAACTCCAGCGAGAATTCAATATATAGTTCTGTCTTTAGTTTCAAGACCTCTAGATCATACTAAATAACTCGAAGATACTAAAAAAAAGAAAGAGTTTTTTTTCCCTGAGAATTTTCCTTGTAAAGAAGGCATTTCATGAGTTACCATGAGCTATAAAGTGAAAATGATCCATTCAGTAATAAAACGGGTTGACAAGATGAACTGTTATTCATCCATGATGGAAGCATTTTCAGATTTAGGGCCAGGAGGCATTTTTGAAAGCGACACTGCTTGTAAACATGAAAGTAAGGACACCTGCTTGTTAACGGAAAGGTAAATGATGACCCTGCAAATTTCCTGACAATCCTTTAAGTCTGATTTGTCCCAAACACTTTTGCTTATGCCTGTGGCATTATAATAGCCGAATGCCTTCCTGCTACCTAGCCAGCCACATGGGGCAAATTCTCCTTTCAGGCACCATGGAAATGGCCAAAGAACTGGTGCAGCGCTTGGGGACCTGGTACTGCAATTATCAGAACCGCCAGTGACAGCCCAAGAGCTACCTGTTTGCACTGAAATCGTACACACATCCTGCAACCTACACAGGCATAATCACGTATTAGCTTGGACTTGCTGACGGCAATACATGGCTTTGTTTGGAAAACATCATCAGAAGAGGGCATGAGTCACATCTGGCTTGTGTTTTGGGTTTCCAGACGGCAATCTGAGCTGGTCTGAGAAATAAATGGGGAAGTTGGCAAACATGCTAGTTCATTATTCTGCAGGTCTTTTCCCGTGGTTTATTCCTTGGCATACCTAAGTCATGCTAGGGTAAGCTTAGGGAAAGATTACAGGATGCTTTGGTCAGGATTCTCCAGAGAAACAGAACCAATTTCACATATATACACATATAATTCTCTGCTATATGTACCCATATATTCAATTAATATACACACTATATTAACATTAAATACTGGTGTCATCCAGGGGAAATAAGCATATCTAAGGGCTTCTGATGGGAGGCAAGTTGTTACAAACTTTCCGGAAGGAAATATACAGCAAAGTCTTTAAGCCAATGAATATCCTTTGACCTAGCAATTCCATTCCAAGAAATACATCTTAAGCAAACAATCGCTGATGTGGGCAAAGATTTAATTGTATGTTCCTTCACGTTCTATTTATTAACAGTGAAGAGATGGTCAGAAGCTGAACGCCCCAAATGAAGAACTGTTAAAAGAAAAATGAGTTGAACTTCAAGGCACCTGTTTAATGAAGGTGTTTCAGGACAGCTAATGACGTAGACCAAAGGTTCAGTATATGAATTAACAAAATAAGTGAAAACTATTGGCTGGATACAAATATAGAGATACAGACACAGATACATTTACCCCTATAGGGGTAACTAAAAAAATATATACCCAACAGGTAACAGTGGCACAATTACAGCTAATATAACTTTCTTCTTTGCATATTCTGTGTGTATCAAATATATTATTAAACAAAAAACAGTAACTTTACGGTGGAGAAACCTAACATACCACCTCAGCCAGGTTACGAAGTTTAACAGCAATTGTGATATCATGTTGATAGACTGTACCCTTCCTAGGATGTGATGAAAACTGTAGCTGCCTTTCTTCCAAACCTTACAACCCTGATTATAACATGAGAAAAATCCCAACAGAGTGACATCCTACAAAATACCTGAGAAGTCCTTCTCCAAACTGTCAAGGTCATCTGAGAAACTGTCACAGACAAGAGGAGCCTAAGGTGACTGAGGACTGAATGGAATGAGGTGTCCCGGACAGGATGCTAGAACAGACAAGGGATGTTTGGTAAAAAAGAAATAGGAATAACGTACGGACTTGAGTTAATGATCACGTATCCACATCAGACCGTAAGTTGTGAGGAATGTACCATAACTTTGCATATGGAGATGAACTTTGTGAAGGAGGGGGACTCCTTCAGAGTCTGTTTTCTAGTGGTAAAGGGTCTTCCGGCTTCAATCTCTTCACCTACATATTCCCACTGCCATGACAGATGGCACAAGGGACGGTACCATTTGAAATGAAGATCCTTCTCGGAATCCAATATAAACATCTTTGATGAGCATCCAGTCTGGAGTGTGCCCAATCCTTGACAAGCCTCCATCCATAAACACAGTTTCTATGAATGTTCTTCCATTTCTGTGCCCCCATGGATGTCTAACACCAGCCATGGGAGGAAAAGAGTGGTTTCTACTTCCTGTATCCTACAATGATCATTTTCTACAACAGGTCCCAGCGCAGGTGAGCTGACACCTGTCCTGAACCTTCCGCTGGGCTGGACAGGACCCAGGCTGAGAGGCCTCTCTCATCTCTCAGTTGGGGCAAGTCCCAGCCCATAGTGATGTCATGGTGCTGTAGCCCTGCCCGTCTGTGATGTCAGCGGTTTCCAGGAGATGGGCCATGATGCTCACAATTAGGAGGACGGCCACCTTGATTCATCTACAGTGTTGACAAGCAACAGTGGTCCAGCTGCTGAAGCACACTGCTGAAAAGCTGTCCTCCTAAACTGATTCCGATCTGTACTCCGATTAGCAACAGCGCTAAGAGCTCTCCTTCTTCCTCTTCTCCTTCCTCTCCTTCTCCTTCCCCTTCCCCTGCCCCCCTCCTTCTTCCCCTTCCCCTTCCCCTTCTTCTTCTTCCTTAAACTGAATTTTTTAAACTGCCTCTTAATATATTTTGATTATTCCTTTCTTGTTTGGATGGTCTGAGAGCTCCATCTTCCTGGAGCAGGTTTTTCTGGTTTACCTAGGAGACTGGGGCTGGGGGTGCAGCCAACATAGCAGGTATGGGCTCCGGGCAGCCCAGGCAGAGGGGTGCAGGAATAGATGAGACAGGGAAGGCTTGGTAGGAAAGGGGAGAGAAGGCAATCAGCTGTTAATGGGCAAAATATCAGAGTATGTTTCAGGGGAACGGACTTCAATCCTTACACCTTAATGATATCTTCAGATCAGCCAATCGTGGAGCTCAACTCTGCCTCCTTACACTGCGGGGACTGAAAAGTCACCTCTGGTTTCGGCTCTACGACCAAGTTCACAAAGATGCCAGGGACTGGTCCTGTCCAAGAGGGAGCTAAACCATTATTAAGTCAAAAAGGCCGTGTAACGGCATTCTCACGGGATTTGGATTATCTGCTCAGTACCTGTACCTTCGGGCATGATTACGTGGGAGATGATGGAGCAGAACCAGGAAGGATATCATGAGACATGGTGGGATGAGCGAATCGTGGCTGGTGTGTTCTTTCAACGAAAAATGGATTCTTAAATCTTCTGTTCAGCCGTCCCTCTGTTAGGAGGTGAGGATACATCGAAGGATCAGGAGAGATGGGAGGCAAAAGAAAAGAGGAGAAAGTGAAGCACGGTGTGGAAATGATACAGGGGAAGTAGGAGCAGGGTGGTCGGGTCTGGAAGAAAGCAGAAAGTGCTTAGCTCTGATAGGGAGGGCAGAAGAATTCATACATGACTGAACTATGGGGCTGACTCCTGGTGAATAACATTCTTTCAAGTGCAGAGGTTGGGGAAGAGGTTTTGTGGTCCATCTGAAGAATGAAATTCACCACCCATAAAGCTTGAGAGTAGGATTCACACAGAGGTTGTAGGGCTTGAAGGTCAACCAGTAGGTCAGGTCAGATCAGAAAGGACAGACTATAAGATACTGAAGAATTTAAGTGATGTCTTGCAGGTAATGGAGAATTTAAGTGTATTACCCGTGATGATTGGAATTAAGATTCTGGCAAAAATGTGGAGATTAAGAAGGAGGCGAGACTGGACAGAAGCTGAATATTAAAACTGCATCAGTAGAGGAAAAGTCAACAGTGTGAGAACTTTATATTTAACTGATAGCATGCCCGGCAGGTCGGGTTCCCTGAAAATAGCACAGCTTTGAACAGGTTTACAGCCATATCTCAGAGATAGCGTGGGTTCAGTTCTAGAGCACTGCAGTAAAGCAAGTCACACAGATTTTTTGTTTCTCAGTGCATATAAAAGTTACATTTGCACTAGACTGTAGTCTGTTAAGTGTGCTATAGCATTATGCCTAAAAAAAGTATACACTTTAATTTAAAAATGTGTATTTATATATATATATACACATATACAGTAGAATATCACTCAGCCATAGAAAAGAATGAAATAATGCAATTTCCAGCAACACGAATGGACCCAGAGATTATCACACTACATGAAGTCAGGCAGAGAAAGACCAAGACCGTATGATATCACTTATATGTGGAATCTAAAATATGATACAAATGAACTCATTTACAAAACAAAAATAGACTCAGACAGAGAAGACAAACTTATGGTTATCAAAGGGGAAAAGGGGGGAGGGATAATTTAGGAGTTTAGGATTAAAATATACACACTACTATATATAAAATAAACAACAAAAGGACCTTCTGTATAGCACAGGGAACTATATTTAATACCTTGTTATAACCTATAATGGAAAAGAATCTAAAAGAGAATAGATATGTATGAATCTGTATAGCTGAATCACTTTGCTGTACACCTGAAACACAACATTATAAATTAACTATATTTCAATAAAAAAATTTTTTAAATGCTTTATTGCTAAAAAATGCTCACCATCTTCTGAGCCTTCAGCAAGTCATAGTAGTAACATCAAAGCTCACTGATCACAGATACCACAGCAAATGTAGTCATGATGAAAAAGTTTCAAATATTGCTAAAATTACCAAAATGTGACACAGAGGCATGAGCAAATGTTGGAAAAATGGCCCCCATGGACTTGCTCGAGGCAGGGTTGCCACAAACCTGCCATTTGTAAAAAGTGCAGTATCTGTGAAGGACAATAAAATGAGCTCTGCCTGTATTAGCAAAAATAAATGAAGATAGGCAATTCAGCATCCATTTAAGAACGTTAAAGACAGATGAGAACAAATAGAAAGAATTAATATAAATAATAATGTAAGTTAATGAATTAGAGAAGAGGACAATGTATTTTTATAAAATCATGCTATGGGACTTCCCTGGTGGTCCAGTGGTAAAGAATCCACCTTCCAATGCAGGGGATGCAGGTTCTCTCCCTGGTCGGGGAACTAAGATCCCACATGCCACGGGGTGACTAAACCCACGTGCCACAACTACTGAGCTCACACGCCTCAACTAGAGAGAAGTCCGCCTGCCGCAAACTACAGAGCCCACGTGCTCTGGAACCCGCGAGCGACAGCTACAGAGCCCACACACCCTGGAGACTGCATGCCACAACAAGTAAGAGAAAACCCACGTGCCACAACTAGAGAGAAGCCTGTGTGCCGCAATGAAGATCCCACATGCCGCAACAAAGATCCCGTGTGCCGCAACTAAGACCCGATGCCACCAAATAAATAAATAAATATTTTTAAAAATTAAAAAAAATCATGTTAGATATGATTTTTTTGAACATTCAAAAAAAATTTTATTGAAGTAGAGTTGATTTACAATGTTGTGTTACTTTCAGGTATACAGAAAAGTGGTTCAGATATTCTCTTTCAGATTCTTTTCCATTCTAGATTATTACAAGATATTGAATATACTTCCCTGTGCTATACAGTACGTTCCTGTTGTTTATTTTATATATAATGTGTATCTGCTAATTCCAGACTCCTAATTTATCCCTCCCCCGCAGTTTCACCTTTGGTAAACATAGGTTTGTTTTCTATGTGAGTCTATTTCTATTTTATAAATAAGTTCATTTGTATCATTTTTAGATTCCACATAAACGTGATATTATGTGATACTGTCTTTCTCTGGCTGACTTACTTCACTTAGTATGACAATCTCTAGGTCCATCTATGTTGCTGCCAAAGGTCGTATGTGACAAACTCACAGCTAACATCATGCTCAATGGTGAAAAACTGAAAACATTTCCTGTAAGATCGGAACAAGACAAGGATGCCTACTCTTGCCACTTTTCTTCAACATAGTTTTGGAAGTCCTAGTCATAGCAATCAGAGGAGAAAAAGAAATAAAAGGAATCCAAACTGGAATGTAAGAATTAAAACTGTCAGTGTTTGCAGAGGACATGATACTATACACAGAAAATCCTAAAGGCACCACCAGAAAACTACTAGAGCTCATCAAGAAATTTGGTAAAGTTGCAGGATACAAAATTAATGCAGAGAAATCTGCTACGTTTCTATACACTAACAACAAAATATCAGAAAGGGTAATTAAGGAAACAATCCCATTTATCATCACATCAAAAAGAATAAAATACCTAGGAATAAACCTACCTAAGGAGGCAAAAGATCTGTACTTTAAAAACTACAAGACACTGACGTAAGAAATTGAAGATGACACAAAACAGATGCAAAGATATACCATGTTCTTGGATTGGAAGAATCAAGATTGTTAGCATGACCAAACTACCCAACGCAATCTACAGATTCAATGTAATCCTTATCAAATCACCAATGGCATTTTTCACAGAACTAGAACAAGTAATTTTACAATTTATATAGAAACACAAAAGACTCCAAATAGCCAAAACAATCTTGAGAAAGAAGAATAGAGCTGGAGGAATCAGGTTCCCTCACTTCAGACTATACTACAAAGCTACAGTCATCAAAACAGTATGGTAGTGGCACAAAAACAGACACATAAGGTACGACTTTCTAGGGAACAAATGACAAAATATAATGTCAGATATATAACTGTAAAATATTTGTTTTTAAACTTAACAGATATCCAAAAAGAGGAAGAAAATTAAATATCAAATAGAGAAATTAAAACACTTACCAAAGATCTTTCACATATTATAGAACATTTGGAAATGAGGATGAATTGGGGTATTATTTTTGCTGAAACATAAATTATCAAAATTGACTCAAGAAGACCCATGATTTAGACCAATGACTCCAAAAGGAACTGAGAAGGCTGTCAGAGAATTATGTCATAATATATAATGAGTTGTTTTAAATTTTGAAGAAGCACAGGGTTCCTATGTGTTTATAAATTTCCAAGAATAGAGAAAGTAATAATACCATTAAAAGAACAATGTCATTACCAAACATGGTTTAATTCAGGACTGCAAGGCAGGTCAATATTCCAAAATCCAAATATATAGCTCAATGTATAAATGGCACATGGCAGAAAGAGTAAGCAGTTTCCTTTACAAATTAGATAACATTAATAAATTTGATAAAATTCAATATCCATACCTAATAATTCTTAATAAAATAGCAAGAGAAGGAAACTTCCTAACATGATTTCAAAAAATACTTATTTCAAAAGTGTAGTCATGTTAAAGGTGAAACACCAGACATTTTCCCTTAATGTCAATCAATGATATGACAAGCATTCTCACTCTGCTTCTGTTTACAATTTTTCTTCAGAAAATGATAATGGGACACATCTGACAGGAGAAGCAAAATCACTGATATATGAAGATGGTCTAATACTTAACCAAAAGGCTCAACTTAAAATAGTCAAAATGATATATGTTCATGATGAAGCCCAGTGATAAAAGAGTTCAGTGTTAAAAAAATGTTACTGTTACTATTATAAAACAGAAAATCAATGTTTGCTTATGTTCAACCCCTAATCAGTTAGGAAACATAATGTTAAAATGTTACAATAGCTACAAATAGAGAGAGGAACAAAATTAATAAGTTTCGGGATCTATATGAAGAAAGATGGATTCCTAACTCGGGGGAAGACAAAAAAAAAAAAAAGACCTGATTGAATAAAAATCCCTGACTAGATAGGGAGAGATAGCTCCTGCAGCTCTAGGAAGGTCTTAATATTATAAAGATGAATTCCACTGAAAGCAAATTAATGCAAATTCATTCAAAATATCAAAGTACTAACTTGAAGGAATGTTTTAAAATCCACTTGGATGAATACGTTTTATAGATTATTCAAGAAATTTTTGAAAAATTAAGCAAGGAGACACGTTTAAGACATTAAGATAATTTGTCAAGTTAAAACAATATATAGGGACTTTGCTGGTGGTCCAGTGGGTAAGACTCCACGCTCCCAATGCAGGGGGCCTGGGTCAGGGAACTAGATCCCGCATACACGCTGCAACTAAGAAGCCCGCATGCCGCAACTAAGGAGTCTGCATGCCGCAACTAGGAAGTCCACATGCTGCAGCTAAAAGATCCCTCATGCTGCAACTAAGACCCGGCACAGCCAAAATAAATAAATTAAATAAA